TCTGGGCAAAGTTCCTCAGCCATTACCAACAAACTTATTTCCGTGCACAAAAAGATCTAAGCGGGCCGGATGAGAGGACCTCGCGGGCCGCATTCGGCCCGCGGGCCGTAGTTTGGAGACCCCTGCTCTATGGTATTAACTCCGCCTTGATACAATGGATACAGAAACTAAAAAAAAAACAACACTTTAGGGGTCATCCATTAATGACGACACACTCGTAGGAAGGGGGGGGGGGGGGAGGAGGGGGTTCCGTCATTTTGGGACGGTGTGTGATGAGCGGATTTCAGATGGTGCGATGTCACACTTTTACATTTAAAAAAAGCAATGTTAGAAAATGTTTTTTATCCGTTAGTTCGCGTTTTGGAAAACTGTTTTAATAAATTGTAGTGGGAATTAATTAAAATACTCTATATTGACAGAGTTTAGACAAGATTTTGTAAAAATATCAATATTTTAAGAAAAATTCAACTGCAATTTTGAGGGGGGGGGTAGGCTTTTAGGGGGGAAGGTCTGGCTTTTTGTGACGATGTGTGACGGAGGGTAGGGCGGAGTTAATATCGTCAAAAAAGCGTTACGTCATTTATGAATGACCCCCTTAGCAAAATTTTAAGTCCGTTTCAATGGATACAGAAACTATAGTTAACACTAGAACAAAATTATCTGTCCCGTTTCACTGCACTTATAGGCTGTGACAGTGAAATCATCAAAACGCCTTACTCATCTTGATAATCCTCTGATGAACGGGAAGTGAAAATAAAATATTAAAATAAAATACGCGGTACGAAAACGGGTCTTTTATAGCCTCAATTAAAGATTATATAGTTAAATCCAATTTTGAATACCATGGCATAACTTTTTAAATGTGGCTAAGGATTTTCATCGGGTGACGCTAACAAACAGAAACACGTTCGGCGAAAGCGTTTAGCTATATCTATATCTATATATATATATATATATATATATATATATATATATATATATATATATATATATATATATACAGAGACAGAAGGAGAGAGATGCAAATAATTGGTTCTCCTGTGAAATCCTAGACAAATGTTGTCGCAGAAACTGAAACAAACCTGAGTTACGTCTTCAAACTCATGTTTCGTGTCATTATTTGCACTATTTGATGCCCGTTATTGATTTAAATATGTCTGAAAGTAATATGTTTCGGTATTAATAACCGATATTAACCTGCTAATATACTTAATTTTCAATTTTAAAAAATACGCTATACTGTATGGTTGTCTATTGCTAAAAATGTAATTCAGTCCTTATCTATTTTATAATTACAGGAAACTCATGAAGGTGATGTCACTAAAACTAAGGAAATCAAACAAACGAGGACAGTTTAATTACAGGAAACTCATGAAAGTGATGTCACTAAAACTAAGGGAATCAAAGAAACGATGACAGTTTAATTACAGGGAACTCATGAAAGTGATGTCACTAAAACTACAAACGAGGACAGTTTAATTACAGGGAACTCATGAAAGTGATGTCACTAAAACTAAGGAAATCAAAGAAACGAAGACAGTTTAATTACAGGGAACTCATGAAAGTGATGTCACTAAAATTAAGGAAATCAAAGAAACGAAAACAGTTTAATTACAGGGAACTCATGAAAGTGATGTTACTAAAACTAAGGAAATAAAAAAAACGAGGACAGTTTAATTACAGGGAACTCATGAAAGTGATGTTACTAAAACTAAGGAAATAAAAAAAACGAGGATAGTTTAATTACAGGGAACTCATGAAAGTGATGTCACTAAAACTATAAACGAGGACAGAATTATCGCAGAGACATGGCGACAAAATCTAATTAGAAAAATAATTTACAATGGAGGCGACCGAGTTGACGATTCCATCATATTGTTAACATATACTTAATTGTGCTGGAGGGGATCCCTTCCAATACTAAAATTAAGAACGAAGAAGAAAAAAGTAGAATCAATGTTATAAAAGTTGCAAATCCAGAGAACTTGAAAATAATTTTATGAGTTTAATGCTACATTTCTATTTATTTTCATCAAGCCTAAGTTATAACCCGATGTTTCACTTTCGTAAGACAAACATTGATTGGCTGTACAGGATCTCCGTGATCGATTTCTGACAGCCCCACATAATAGGTTTTTTTGTTTTGTTTACAAAACTTTGCAGATAAAATTTTTAAATAGCTATGCAAATTTAAACCACATGACAAGGCTATGCCATTTTTACTGTCTCGCATACGAAGTATAGAGGAAGTATTGTAATCGTGCAAAAATCGAAATCAAGATTTTCACAAATCTCGACCTTTTACACCTCCCAGAGTCGGAAAAACATAGTTTTGCAATTTTGTCCGTATGTCTGTGTGTGTGTGAGTATTTGTATGTCTGTGAACACAATAACTTCCGGAAGTTTATGTTATTCAAAAGCCTACAACTTGAGTACTATTTCAGATTGATAAGCGAAATTTCACATGTAAGTAAAAGATCTAATTCTCTGGCTTCTATCAAATTTTGAGTAATTTTCGTTGACCGGAAATATTACTGTACGATATTTCCGATTTCTCAAAAAAATGCATATGAATTTATAAAGTACAACTATTCCGCACTATTATACACATATTGTTTACTGTTCACTTGGTGTGCAATTCTTTTTCTACGAGATTCTATTCTATTTTTAAAAAGTTTATGTATGTAAAAACTGATTAAAAATCATGTCTATATCCCAAGTTGCAATCCCCGTAGCGCTAAATAAGAATATTCGAGAAAGTTTAGGGGATAACATTCCCGCTTTTTTTCTTTTAGTATATGCCAATTTTTTGTTTACAATTTGTACAATAACATTTATGCTAACCTATCGAATAGCAGGAGGCCACTGTTTATGTCGTCATTACACGCGAAAACAAAATTGTTTTGCTTTTTTTTTAAATTTAGTTACCGAAAATATTAAAAACATTATATACATCCAATCTTTAGTAAAGTCTTTAAAAAAACTCCAGTAGACGGTCCCTGAGTCCACCCAACTCTGATGGGTACCTAACTCACGTTAGGGAGAGTAAAGGCGGCTGGGCATAGTGCTGACCACACTATCTCTTCAAATGCCGAGGTCACAGAAACAAGTGAACTCTACTTCACTTGCCTCATAGACCGTCAGGTTTGAAAGGGAAACTTTACTTACTTTTTTACTTTACTTAAAAAAACTAAACTGACATAATTTTCTAACCATATTAATTTTAACTACGCCGTGCATGATACCTTTAAGACTTTTCTCACTCGGGTCCATTTGTTTTTTTTTAAACGTAAATATTTACTTTTTACAAGCTTTTATTTAACTCACTTCCTCTGTCGTCAGTCTGTCGTCAGTCTGTCTCGATCGAAACGCCCGAGTGAAATTGCAGGCACTTCTAACTAACAGATATGGTTCGTAGTTGGTACGTGGGTCAAGACACGAAGACTGCAACATGACATTCAATTTTACTTAATTGGTTGCCTGATTAATATTTTATGAATTATTTAAAATTTTGTCCAAATTAGTAGGCTGTCTCATCAAACTATACCGCGCTATTTGACACGCGTCATCACGTTCAGTAGGTGCGCAATGGTTTTTAGTCATGCAGCTCTAGTGTAAATAAAACTTATAAAATACTAAAAAAAATGTTATAAAAACGTTTTAATAACAAGCTTTTATGTAATAATGCACTAAAAAGTAGAAAATAAATTATACACTACTATTTAAATTACTATAAAGAAAAGCGTGGGTCTCTTCCTAAATATTAGTAAAGGTATCCAATAGATACTAAAGTGACCCACGCTTTTCCTTATAGTAATTTAAATAGTAGTGTATAATTGATTTTCTACTTTTTAGTGCATTATTACATAAAAGTTTGTTATTAAAAAGTTTTTTTGTGACATTTTTTTATTTTAAAAATTCATAACTACTAATACAAAATAGAAAATGTAGCAAATATATATACTTTTATAATAGTAAACCTTCAATACGCTGAATTTTTATTTCATTAAAAAACCTAGCTTTCTTTATCAAAAGCATTAATCAGTCATGACATCGCTTTCATATTTTTAGCGTCCATGGTTTTATGCAAGAGAACAAGTTTGTTTTAGTCGTTTCAGTCCATTTAAAAGTTTTTTATAATTAAAAACAATATTGTTTTCTTACACGATGAAGTTTAGCCTGGCGCCTTTCGCCTTAAATTAACTCGAGTATTTTCGATTGCAAATAATTAACTATCCACTTATAGAGCAATATACAGTGATATATATATATATATATATATATATATATATATATATATATATATATATATATTGTATTTCAGAAGAAATGGGTTACTTTTTATTCCATCTCCCGTAAAACACTGAAGCTTGCAATTTGGAAGTGATTTGAAATGTTTACCTCCTAAACCTTACCATCAATTCGCTTTGCGAGGATCGAACTATTGTTTTCGCTATGTAAACATCAAGATTAAACATACTTGACCACCGCTCTAACCAGTATCTAACTTTAAACGTTGTGTACAAACAGTTGCTATGGTTACGATATGCAGGAATAGTGTTTTATATATCAAAAACTACTTCTAGTGTTCTGATCAATTTAATACGATTCAAATAAAACTATTTGAATTGGATTTTTTTAGAATGTTAATCTGTAAGTGTAGGTGTAAATACTTACATACATGTTACTAAATATGTAAGTGTAAGTGTTGAAGAGAATGCCTACATTTCTGTGGCTAAATGTGTGTTGAAGAGAATGATCACATACCTGTGACTAAATGTGTGTTAGTGTTGAATAGAATGCCTACATACATGTGACTAAATTTGTAAGTGTTGAAGAGAATGATCACATACCTGTGATAAATGTGTAAGTGTTAGTGTTGAATAAAATGCCTACTATTGCCTACATACATGTGACTAAATGTGTAAGTGTTGAAGAGAATGCCCACATACATGTGACTAAATATGTAATTGTAAGTGTTGAAGAGAATGATCACATACCTGTGACTGCACCCTGGAACATGGTCTTAGTCTCAGTGACCTCATCCTCGTCTATGTCCTCCCTGACCGAGGTATCATACGGCTGGTCACTTAACATGCCCTCGAGTTTATTGTACTCTTTTATAAGGCGGTTCAACGTTGGGAATGTAGGCACCGAATCTTTGCTAATATTGGGAGCACTGGACATTTTTAGCATGCTCAGAATAGTTTGCTGGATGCCGGCTATTCGGACATTTTTCCTGGTCTCTCGGCAGGCGGCACCACAGAATGTCGGCTTTCTGGAACTGTAGCCATCCACGTTTTCCTCGAAGTAATCTTGAGTTTCTGTCTCATTGTCATCATAGTAATCGCCTTCTTCCTCTAGATTAAAGGGGCCTCCGGCAAAGGGCGGAGCTGAGACGTTTAGTTCGTCTTCGTGCGTGGCACCTAGCTCGATTGATACATTTTGTCCATCTTCATGTACGACATCTAACACAATTGAGACATTTTGTCCACTTTCCGCTGGTGTGGCGCTCAGCACGCTGTTGGGACAGTACAAAGAATCATTGGTACCATTGCATAGCAGGTCTTGAAACTCCGTGTCGTTGATAGACTTGGCGAGAAGCGAATGATTATAAAAGAAACACAGAGAAAGTAAGACGGTGGCGACAGCGTATAAAGTTGGTGCCGACATGTTGAGGAACACAGCACCTGTTCTCTGGATCTGTTCAGGCGACGCTAGGCAGTCGTGTGTGACTCAAGTGCCCCTCTGTCTGGTATCCGACTAGCGCTGTACCGGAATATTTCTCACATAGAGCAGCTGGTGAACTTATATAGTGCCAGATCACACAGCGCTGGTCCGCACAGCGAGCGTCGCCTACCTGCCTGCCGTCCAATTGTAAGCGAGCTGACCCACCTGCGCTATCAAAGCCGATATTTTCCCCGGTACCAATCAAATAGCATTCGAAATGTAAAAAGAAACTTCAGATTAGCCCTGATATAGATGTCGCTCAGGCGTTTTCTGTCGTATGACGTCATTCGTCAAGGTTTGATGAACCGTATGACGTGTTTAATTTTTTTATTTTAAAAATCGTGATGCTTTTTAAAGTTGGCTCAGCTCAACAATTTGAAGTTAATTGTTCGTGAACTCTAATTCAGAAATCCGCCCTCACCACCCCTCCCAATAAAGAATGCAAATACCAACAATCAACCAATTAGAGAGATATTTTAATTAATGTGCAATAACCTCGGAGCAGGAATGTACACATTTTAGACGAAATATGGAATTATTTTAAATTTCTAACTGCTGGTTTTCCGCTATTTAAAAAAAAATCGGACTATGAGAACAAATCATGTAAAACAGTACGAAACATAAATTACAATTTTCACCCTCGCCCCCCCTCCCCCGTACGCTTACAAACACGGTAAATTCAAACTGCTTGGTAACATTCATTTTCTAGTTGACTGTTATATATAAGCTATGCGCTGTAGTCGTGAATGTAAATATTGCGTGAAAACATCAGCCAGCCGGTAATCACCTCAACGTTACGTAGCTCGCATTTCCTTGGTACATAGGTCATAGGTCTACGGGTGAGGGGGTAGTGAAGAGATGCTTTTGTAGAACTTTGACATATCCCGGGCCGCCATACTAGGTCAGGTCCATGTTTTAAAGCCTCGACCTTGACCCTAGGTTTACAAAACTAGCGGGTCACCACCTCATTAGGGGCTCCGTGAACATGTTTTACTGACATGTACTAGTATACAAACCCGTTTACTGATGTTTACAGCTCCCCCTCCCCTCTACTTGTGTAAACAGACCTCCCCCACCTCCCCACCTCCTTTCAGCTATCGTTCTCTCCTCCAACACCCCAGCCTCCAATTATTTTTTAACTCAAATTGTTTACAATAGTTTATAAGACAACAGCAGTAGGGTTTGGTGGTGTGAATAGACCAACTTTATAAGACAGCACTAGTAGGGTTTGGTGGTGTGAATAGACCAACTTTATAAGACAGCACCAGTAGGGTTTGGTGGTGTGAATAGACCAACTTTATAAGACAGCACTAGTAGGGTTTGGTGGCATGAATAGACCAACTTTATAAGACAGCACCAGTAGGGTTTGGTGGTGTGAATAGACCAACTTTATAAGACAGCACCAGTAGGGTTTGGTGGTGTGAATAGACCAACTTTATAAGACAGCACTAGTAGGGTTTGGTGGCATGAATAGACCAACTTTATAAGACAGCACCAGTAGGGTTTGGTGGCATGAATAGACCAACTTTATAATACAGCAGCAGTAGGGTTTAGTGGTGTGAGTACACCTATAATGCTTGGATTTAGGCATGGCAACACCCCTGAAAACTCTAGTTACAGTTGTGAGTTTTACAGTCCTTGATGGGGAGTTCAGTTACAAACTTTGGTGGGGAGCTAATTTATAGTCAATGCGATTGCGAGATTTTCCTTTTAACTGAATCAGTGAGCCCACCTATCTATCCTTCCTCACGTCAACTAATATATATATATATGTATGTATATATATATATATATATATATATATATATATATATATATATATATATATATATATATACATATATATATATATATATATATATATATATATGTATATATATATATATATATATATATATATATATATATATATATATATATATATATATATATATATATATATATATACATACATATATATATATATACATACATATATATGTGTGTGTGTGTGTGTGTGTGTGTGTGTGTGTGTGTGTGTGTGTGTGTGTGTGTGTGTGTGTGTGTGTGTGTGTGTGTGTGTGTGTGTGTGTGTGTGTGTGTGTGTGTGTGTGATCATGGGGATAATGGGGTAGGGGCAAAGTTTTCAAGCTTGTCACATAACTTGGGTGTTTTTAAACATGTGGGACCTGCTCTTCATGGCCAGGCTCTGGTGCCCGCCTATGGTGCTCGCTCCTGGTGCCCTCCACTGTCGCACGCTTCCAATGCACATTACTGGTGCCTCCTCTGGTGCCCTCCACTGTCGCACGCTTCCAATGCACATTACTGGTGCCTCCTCTGGTGCCCTCCACTGTCGCACGCTTCCAATGCACATTACTGGTGCCTCCTCTGGTGCCCTCCACTGTCGCACGCTTCCAATGCACATTACTGGTGCCTCCTCTGGTGCCCTCCTACAGTGCCCTCCTATGATGCACTCCTCTGGTGCCCTCCTCTGGTGCCCTCCTATGATGCACTCCTCTGGTGCCCTCCTCTGGTGCCCTTCTCCAGTTCCCTCCTATGATGCACTCCTCTGGTGCCCTCCTCTGGTGCCCTTCTCCAGTTCCCTCCTATGATGCCCTCCTCTGCCTACCGTCTCCAATGCCCTCCTCTGGTGCCCGCCTCCACGCAGAAGTCCACCCCGCAGCGCGCGCTGGCTGACGTGTTTGATAGCCGGTGACTTAGCCGCTTCAAATATGTCACCGTTGATAACGATGTTTAGACAAGTTAGGGCGCCTCGACATGGGCCACTAATGTTGCCTAATGATATATTAATTGCTTTTAAGCATAATTATTTACTGTAAACTTTAAATAATTTGATTTACCGAATTTTTCAGCAAAGTTTCTTACGATATTTTTGGCGCTGAAACCCGATTTTATATTAGCTGCACATGCTTTTGTTGTTTTTGTGCATCGGCTTAAAAAGAGGAATATTAAGTGCCGACATTTTAAGACACTTTCTTAGCTGAAAGCCAGATGTTAAATTTGTGTCATGTTTTTTTTTCCAAGCCCAAAATATCAACGTCCAGCGATGAGAAAGTAAGGTGAAGTGGTTAGCACAAAGTTCGTTGGAAATAGGCCACGTGTCAGCCGTTGAGAGCAGCACATACTCACGTGCACGGTGCCTCTGTATTGTATCAATCAACCAATCAGATTGCTCTGATGAAAGAAGGGGGAAACTCTGAGAAGATTTTAGAGGGTGATTTGCTTATCACATCGATGATTATTTTCTTGTTGAACACCCTATCGAATTAAAACGCGCAAAGGGCGATCTAGTAAAACATATTTTATTGATTATCTGATGCAATTTTACAAATAACTTACGTTTAGGATTTTAATTTTGTAATTTTAGTAATTTCAAATTATTAATTCGTAAATGCCAAACAGAAATTTGTGGCGGACATTGTTTTGTTTCTTTAAAATCAAACTTTTAAACTAATTTTAGTTAAACTATCGCTGCTTTAGGTACGATTCCGAAACAGTTCACATCATTGAAAAATATGTAAAATACTCATGCAGGCTGTCTGAAGAAATCAGTCAGGTGCTAAGCGACCTGAATCGTCGTGAAAGGTCACCTTTGTTTATTTTTTGCCTGCATGTGCGTGCACATTTAGCGTGGAGTTTATTTACGTAACATGGCAACATGCTGCGCTATAAATAACTTACGTCGGCAGTGATTATATTTGAAATCAACTTCGTGTTATAAAGATGGATATAGCTTGGTCCTCAGAAAGAACTATACCTTATCATTTAAAATAGATTTACATTGCATTCCTGACTAATTATTTTCGTTAACCAAAAACTGCCTTTAAGTATTAGTCAATTAATTCAATTATTTTAAAACTCAATCATTTTTTTTAAATGCAGAAAAGCGAGCAGCGATTTAGATTAAAATTTGCTAACATTAATCGTGAGCATTGACCCAACACCTGTGGTGAAAGTAGGTCAAGCCTCGACCAAACTGCCCCCTGGTTCACGTGCAGGACGTGCGTCAGACCATGCCAGAGTTATCTGCACTTATCTCCTCCTGGACAGCCTCAGTCCGCTCTGTGCCCCAATGGCACATCATGTGCGCACTATGCAGTGGCGTAGGTAGGGTTTGTATGGGGGGGGGGGCAGAAGAATGGACCAACAAAATGAAAGTTGTCTCAACGTTCAAAAACAGCTAAAAACAATTTAAGGAGAAAAGAACAATTATATATATATATATATATATATATATATATATATATATATATATATATATATATATATATATATATATATATATATATATATATATATATATACCTATAATTATAATTTATGTGAAAACATTTATGTCAAAAATTAGGAAAAGAAGATTGGCTTGGTTAGGCACACACTGAACAGACCGTCAACCAATATCACTAGCCTAGCATTGAGGTGGAACCCTCACGTATAGTAGAGAAAGGATCGACCAAGATACATCAGGATACATCTGGACTCAGGTCGGGAAAATTGCACAGAACAGCGTTCTTTTGTTTGTGTTTCCGTTTGAGTTTGTGTTTTCGTTTGCGTTTGTGTTAGTGTTGCTGATAGTGTTAGTGTATTTGTGTTTGCGTTTTGATTTGCATTTGTGTTTGTATTTTGGTTGTGGTTGATTGTTGTTAAGGGTTATGTTTAGAGTTAACATTGTGTGTTGTTTTCTCAAACTTAGAAATGTAACTGTAAAAGTAATGTATTTTCTAAACCGGGTAAATGCTGCGTAAGAAATACACTACTCACGGACCTTTACAGTTTTTTCACACGGGCCAATGAAGGCCTGGCATGAACGTCTAGTATATAATATATATATATATATATATATATATATATATATATATATATATATATATATATATATATATATATATATATATATATATATATATATATATATATATATATATATATCATGTTGAGTAATTCTTAATAACTTATTAATTTTTATTAAGTTAAAAAAGATATTAATTCTGTTTCATATAGATTTTCAACATTAGCCATTCATTCACTGTGCA